CAAGAACTAAACCCCACTTAAGTGGTTAAATGAGATTTTCTTCTCAGGATGCTAATACGCCTTGTCTGTTGAGAACTCCTCTATTTTGAGTATACATCATCTGAAAAAGACTCCAAGTAAAAATAGCATTTTAAATGCAATGATTAGCCTATCGATTTTAACAGAGGCATTTCTCCATTCTTTCATTTAACATCTGGGGAGTGAAAAAAAAAGTATATGCAAACAGATGAAGAACAGCCTACATTAGTGGAAATCAGTTCAAATCTCTTCCCCTTCAGGTTGGATTTCACAAAACTTATGCCGAAAGTAAAATTTAGTTCTGTTTTTTGCACTTTACGTGTGATGCACTATTAATACAAGGAGTCAGAAATGATCTGTTTCTATCCATCCTTCTACGCATGTAGCATTCATCCTCCCACCATTCATCATTCATATACATCCATCCATGTATATCCATCCATTCATCCACTTATCTAACTCTGTCTACCTATTTACTTCTACACTTGACCATCCATCCATCCATCCATCCATCTCTCCATACAACCCTATCTACAGACCTATCTATTTCCCTGTCTGCCTACTTAAGAATACATTCAGAATACATACATTATCTACCTACTTCTAAATACATTCCTCTCTCCATACATCTACCCATTTATCTATCTGTCCATCTTTTTCAATTTTCATCTCTTCTCTAGCTGGTCTCTAGCTAGCTCCTTTCTGACTAATGTGGAGGGACTTTTCCATGCACTGGTTTCTATATAGAGATATAGAAAGAAGGTGTTTTTTTTTCATTTTGTTTTGTTTTTGTTTTTGTTTTAGGATAAGAATACAAGATCTGAATGTTCTTCTAGCTGTGACTTGGGATTTTGCAAGCCTTAGACTGTTGATCTTGATATCCTTAGGAGTCCTTGGAGACCTTTGAGAGACCCTGAAGGAAACAGTTGTGTATACGTGTGTGTACAAACAGAGAGAGCAAGATCCCTGACATTATGATATTTTCTTATGGTTTCTAGTAAGTTGAAGCCTATAAAATTGTTGCTATTCCTCAATTCCCCCCCCCACCAAAGATAGAAATTTCATATGGTACAATGTTATGATGGTGGGAATGAAACAATAAGATAAAAAAACAAAAGAAAACAAACAAAATCCCCCCAAAAACAATAACCAAAAACCAAACATCAAAGCAAAAGTATACTTTTAAAACAAAACAAAGAGAATTCGGTTGCCGGATGCCTGTTCTGCTCACTCTCGGGACACTTAAGGCAGTGCTATCGTCTTTTGTCACAAGTGGCCTGGATTCGGGGACGGTTAAGAGAAATGCATGTTTTATGTGAAAATGGAAAGGGTGCTGAAAACTTGCAGTGTCACAGAATCATCCTGCTATTTCAGAGCCAAACACTGTATCACTTTCTTCTCTAACTGATCCTCTAGCTAGCTGGTTTCTGACTACCGTGGAGGGACTTTTCCATGCACTGGTTGTTAGGAAATGTTAACATGTTAGCAAGCAGAACAAGCATGACAAATGTCTGTCTTTCTGGTGAGGTAACAGTTTCATCAGCGCTGTGTACACATCAGACATGTTTACCTAAATAATTGTGCCACAATCCACTGAACAAGGTATCATTCCCTTCCCACCGCACCCGCCATTTGTCTGCTCAGAGATGCAACAATGATCAAGTCATAATACACAGAGAAACCAAGAGCCAATCAATAGGGAGAAGCCTGCCCCCAGGCTTAATTCAAGCAAGCCATTCATCGAGCTAATGTGATGATGAACCTGGGAAATCCAGAACGTACCACAGACACATCAGCAACACCAGGTGGCATGCAATGACCAGATGACCGTCGGCCCCGTTGCCATGCTTTGAGTGGTTCAAGCTCAGAAAACACTTTCCTTTGAGAATCGGGACAGTTATCTTTGCATAACTCAAAGAGAGCTTAAGAACAAGGTTTCAGTGAAGTCAATTGCTTACCACATGTTTCTTAAATGCCAAGAAAAGTCCCACTGAAGAATTCAAGGAAACTATATGACCTAGTCCGGGCAGGCCTTTTTGCTGGGGGAAGTCTCTGCCCACACCAGCTAGTCTTCATACTGGAGGTCAACACTGAGAACTCTCCTGGTGCCCTCATTTAATGAGCATGTGATCATTTAACCAAGGAATATTATGGGAAGGGGCTTGCAAGGTGCTTGTGAAGGACCTTCTGGATCGTTCTGAGGTTACTAGTTGGTATTCAACGTTTTTCAAAGGTCCCCGAAGCTTTAATTTTATGAGGGCTTAATTTGTGCCGATGAATTGTAAAATTCTCCCCATCCAGAACATCAAACTTTTGCTTTCAAGACACCTGAAGAGCGAATTTCATGATTACAGGGAAAATGTGTGGCAGTATCTTTTTTTGATTGGACTGACAACCAGGGAGGATGACTGAAGACTTTTTTGTTCTTGCTGGTTTTACTCCTTTTCCCAGTAGCTTTTCTGAGGTAAAAAGTTGTTTGTTTTCCTTTGTCATTTTGTCTTTCAGAGAAAAAAAACTCTAAGTGTCTATTGTTCCTGATATGATGTTGCAATGGTGCAAGAGAATTTATTACCTTCTTTCCTGAGATACATTTTAAGTACATTCAGGTAGATTCAGAAGTTATTTGGAGATTTTCACAATTCCCCTCCAAATGTACATCTTATATGCAAGGGTCTTCTTTTTCTTTATCCATTTACTAAGAATTAAAGGAAGGACCATCAGTGAAAAAAAAGGATTCTTTACAAATTAAACCAGAAATAGCATTTTAAAGATTGTTTTCTGGTAATTTATTGGCCCTGTTACTTCATTCAGCTCAATGCCACAATTCCATATGCAGCAAATATCTTAAAGTGAAATAGGGCAACTAAACCAATTTTCACAGCAACCAAGAGACATAATGTGAAAATCTCCCTAATGAACAAGAGGCCAATTATATGGGCAAGAGGATATTTAGTTAGTTTCTTCAACTGAAAAGATTACATTTGTGCAAACTGCAGACTTATTCCAAATTTACCAACCCAAGAGAGAGGGCAATTTTTCAGTAGGACATGTTGCTGATGATAAATATTAAAACAACAGATTTTATACACTACTTGAATATATAGTACTTCAAAACGAAGCAACATTTTAATTTTTAGATAAATTCAAGTGGAGGTTTCCACATAATTCTATCTAAGAACAGTATTAGATATTTATGAGTCCCCCCCCACATGTCTAGATTGCTCTTACTAGAAAAAGCAATTTAAATTATATCTTTGTAATTAACCTTTTCTCAACTAGAGGACAGATGTATTTATACTGAGAAGCGAGATAAAAATCCAAAGAAATAAATCCATTTAAGATTCTTATAATTATACAGCAGACTAAAGTCACTATGATTATAATTATATACAAAGTGGGTGTTGGAGAATTTAGCATCTAGAGATATTTTCATAAAAAATAATTAAGGGTTGTAGCTGAACCACTTTACAATTGATACTGTGTGAATCTTCAAGGCGCAGAACTTAATAGCATTAAGCCTTTTCACTCACAGAACGAGCTTGAAAATTCATCATTTTTATTAGCCTGACCGACCCTCTCTACTTTCCTAATCTCAGGTCAAGAAGTGGAGAAAACAGCAATTTACACAAAACACAGTTTGCTTCTTGGCAAATTGATTACTGGGGAAGTGGGTAATGAATGTGTGTCTTTAGAATGGCATCTTGATAATTGTCTGGACTGTTTCAAAGTCCCCTCTTATCTTGAGAACTTATGGATGGTTGTTGCTAAGAGAATCATCTTCATCCTTCTAACTGGGTATGAGCAGATGCCTGATGTCAACTCTATCTTGCCCAAGAGTCATTGGTTCCAAGTTTTTGCATGGGGTTTTGAAAGTTGAGCTTTTTGGGGGGGGATGCAGCGCTTTCTCGTGCTTTTATTCTGTCACGGAAAGATCCTCTAGTTGCAATGAGTTAACAACACGCCTTGTGAGAAATGGGATGGCACTACAGAGAGAGCATGAGCACAGCAAACCTAGACAGGAACTAAGTTGCAGCAGGCCAAGTGGGAGAACCAGCGGCGGCTGGCCCTTCTCCATCCGGAGGCCCAGACATCACCTGCTTACCTGTCTCACCCAGCATGCCTCAGCCACACATGCAAATTATTATCAGTATTGTTTTATTCATGGAACGGAGTTTTAAATCAAAGACGTCATTTCCAGAAGAAGCACCCTCCACCACAACTTGGGCATGCAGAGCATCTGAACATTCACATCTCTGTCCTCAGAAAACAGAGCCAAGGGTTTGCATTCAAATGTGAAAAAACGCGCATTTCTTGTCTTTTTTTTTTAAGGCAGATAATACAAAAATAGCTCTGGCTTGAGCTTATGAAGTCCAAGTACTAAATCTCACTGACAGTCTTGTGTGGGGTGGACTACACATCAAAGGTGACTTGTATCTATAGGCGTGGGAACTGGGCATGTCCAAGAAGTAGGCACCTCCTTGGGCATGCAGAGTCAACATCTCCCCTGTGATGACTTAAAATGCAATGGAAGGAAGGTTTAACTTAGCATAAAATATTGTAAAAGGGAGGGGGCAAAGAGTGCTTGAAATCTAGGCAAACACCTAGGCAAAGGGTCATCTTTTGCTTGGATTCCTAGGAGTTACATGAAACCATGATCTTGCAGAGAAGACCATGCACAGGGAGTGTAGTATCTGCATGCAAAGTGTGTAGACATAGAAATCAAGAGAGCTATGATTCCTGGAGACTTGGACAAGGCTTGTCCTTGCATTGTGTCTTGGCAGAGAGGAAGGGGGCTTTTGAATGAACTCAGTTTGACTGTTCATCCCCTCTCTCGGTGGCGTGGTGTTTACCGTCCCTATAGGATTGCTCACTACCTCCCAAGCGGTCATGCATTTCCACCAAGGCTGGCCGAGCCTCTGCCGCTCCCACCAGCTGGAGTTAACTTCCGAGTGGTTGCCAAGCACGAGAAGGAAGGTCCTTACCTGTCACTGTAGGCAGCGGCAGTGGTAGGAGTCGGCTGGGCATAGCGGTATGCAGCATAACCACCCTACAACACAAGGAGAAGGTTCACTCAGAAAAGCAGGACGTCCAACTCAGGGGGTGAATGTCCAGTGGTGAGGCTGCACCAAGAACCGCTGTTAACCCAACTCTACTGATCTAAGACAGAAGTTAATGAGCTTAGTACCAAAGGAGAAATTAAAACACACACTAGAGAGATAAGGGCTTGAATTGCGATCCCAGCTGGATGTTAAAGGTTAGCAGTTTTAAGCATTATCCCATAGTGAAGGCCCAGGCCCTTTCAGGTAATATGCTTCCATGTTATTGGTGACTACCTTGGGGTGAGAGAAAGCAGAGGAGATTTTAAACATACTCTGCTGAACTTGATCGATATTCTGAAATTCTGATTTACCTTTACTTATTAGTTATACATGTAAATTTTATGTAAATTATTATGTAGGAAGTTTTTCTTGATGAGGATGGAAAATTTGGGAAGAGGTATCTGTGAATGGCTGCACACAGGATGGAGGGAAATGATCTCACTGAACCGTACATATCAAAATGGTGAATTAGCAAAATCATTAGCTCTTTACAATTAATAAATTACAGGGCAAGCAAACGTCCTTTTATGTTTACAGTTATAAGGGGGAAAAAATAATACCAGATAATTTCTAACTGGGAGTTACCAGCCATCTTTCACTTGTACACTCATTTGACCACTCAAGATATTAAAGTGGAATGTCTTTCATTTTCTAAATGTTACATAATCATTACCAGAATGAATGATAGGCATTCTGTCTTGTCAGCTCAAGGTACATCCCTATACAAGTTCAGATGGGGGACTCATCTGGTGTGCAAACATGATAAAGTCTTCTAATTTGCAAATAAAATCATTAAGAGAGCAACAAAATCTGAAAAAAGCATAATTAACATTTCGTTGTATGTAACGGTAATTGTAATTGTTCAATTAAGCAGGGAGGACGCGTGGATGTATTTGAAAGGAACTGTGATCAGTGGAGCATCGATTATCAAACTGTGAAAATAACAGAGGTTCTTGCTCAGCGAACCGCAGCGCTCCATCCACCACGGCGGAATGATCGCAGCACAATTAAGAAACAGGACCTAGCCTCCACTGACAGGTAACACGGGGCCATTCAGGTTCTAACGGGAAGACACTGTCCCATAATCCTCTGTGGAAGTGTCTTTGCCTCCCAACCAAACTGGAATAGCTCTCGGTAGAATGAACTGTCCTAGGATCACTGATGTTAGTATCCTTTTCAGTCAATTTCATCTCATGCCACAACCCATGTGTGTACAGCAGACCTGCCCGTGGGGGCTCCGATAATAGTTGTATTATCTAGTAACACAATCAGGAGTGGGTGAGTTAATGAAATTCAGAGTAGTCTAAGTGTGTCAGAGGTGATAAAGATGGCAAAGGATAGGGCAAGGGATCAAGTCTGTTGTTCCTAAGGGCTCTAGGAGTTGTATTCGATTTGACAGCATCTAACAACAATATATTAATGATCTATTCCTTGGAAATGGACAGCATGCTTGCAAAGGGGGAAAGTCAAGGAAAGAAAGGAAGACCCCCAACGTGATGGACTGACCCAGTGACTGCAGCAATGGGGTCAAGAGTGTCCAGAAATGAAGAGGTTGGCACTGGATAGGACTGTTGTTCATAGGGACAGTCAATGACTGTCTAACAACATCTACAGCATATAACGTATCTCGCTTCTAATCAAGAGGTCAGCAGTTCAAACCCACCAGCCACTCTACAAGAGGAACCATCTTTTCTCATAAAGATTTACTTCCTTAGGCCCTTTCAATGGAGCGTTGCCATGACTGGGAACCTACTGAATTAATGACAACAGGTTCATGTATAGAAGGAAATGAATTTCCTGCTTGTCTGGGTAGGAGAGAAGTGAAACAGAAAAGTTGCAAGAGGCATCTTTCAAATGTAGGAAAATCATTCCCAAACATTTCCTTCTGCTGCTTTTCAGTCACAGCTTAACCTTTTCAGTGGACTTGTCTTTACTTTCACTGCAAATCAAAACTAGCTGATTTAGTTTTAAAGAAAGTCATTCTTTCGACCAGTCCCAGCGAAGACTCATCTAAAACATCTTGACAGATGATTATCAATAATTTGGAAGCCAGGTTGGGTTTCTTGGTTTTGTGTTTGTGGTTTATTTTTGTTTTGTTTTGTTTTGTTTTTTAAATCTTCCCTGGAAAACAATGTGAAAGCTAAAAAAATAAGAGAGCGAGAGAGAGGTCCTAGCCAGCCACCACCTGCTGTTGCAAGCACCATGTTCTCTAATTAGGTACCGGGGAACTCATTAAAATTTGCTGAGGAGTTGTAAAAGCAAAGCCGTTTGTCAGACCAGCACCAGCATCCAGGCTCAGAATGAAGGGCTGGGGAAATGAGGTCACCATGTTTCAGGAGCCATTCTTCTCATGTTTGTTTGCTTCCTTGTCATCATGCGACACACTGAAAGACAAGGAATGGGTATGCTGCTGTCTGTCTGTCGCACTTGACATCATACACAGGCTGGGGCCATCTGGTTGATGATGGTGGTCATTAGATTCCGACTCATGTGTTTAGAACAGAACTGTGCGTCATAGCGTTTAAGGCTGTGAGCTTTCCAAAACCGATCCCCAGATCTTTCTTCCAAAGCACGTCTGGAAAGGGTGGGTTCCAACCTCCAACCTTCGGACTATTAGTCCAGTGCTTGCACCACTGGAAATATTAAATGTAAATGGGGTGTATGTGTGAGGGGCGGTGACTTAGGTTCCGTACTTCCAAGAGGGATAAAGAAAGATGCTTGCGTATTGAATTCTATACGAATCATGATTTGATATGGTGACTGTGAATTGGACTTTGGCAAAAATTTCTAGCAATGTCCCATTCACAAACCTGCTGGTTTTGACACCCCCAACTCCAGTGATAGTTTTGGCCAATGAAAGTAGATGGTGAGTTTGCTCTGCAGGAGTGAAAACAGGAAATTAGGAAGACTGAACCACAACTGAGGACTTCTTTGAGATCACTCCTAGTTAAACACACAGTGACATGATCATTTGAGAAGCGTTTGGCAGGACCTCTCCTTGTAGGTTCCCATTACTTTACGTTTAGGGAACATAGGGTGTTTAAGGCAAGGCAGACACAAGCCGTCAATGGCTGGTTGGTTTTGTTTGTCAAATACTTGTTTATAAGCATTCCTGGTACATGAATCAAGGTCTGGGCAGTCAGTGGAGGATCTTGAGCTTGGCCAATGGATTTACTGCTGGCCAGTTTGTCGACTGCTGCTGTCCAATATGGCAGCCTCCTGACATAGCTGAGGAGTCCCTGGGTGGTTTAACAAGGTAAGTGCTCAGTTACTAACCAAACATTTGGTGCTTTGAACCCAACCAGAGGGTCCTTGGAAGAAAAGTCCCGTGATCTAATTCCAAAAGTTCATAGTCGTTGAAAATCAAACCCACACAGTTCTGACACAGGTCAGAACTAAGTTGGAGTTTACTCCATGGAAGTGGTTTGATTTTTTGCAATGTTGTCATCGGCTGTTGAGCTCATGAAATGTGGCCAGTGCCATAAATTGAAATTTTTTTTAGTTAACTTGAATTCCAATTTAAAGCTGATGGTTACAATATTAGCACAAGTCCACATGAGCCCTGACTTAGAAAAGGAGCAGTAGTAGTCGTTGTTGTGTACCGAAGAGTTTGAACCGACCCATAGCTGACCCTCTGGGAAGTTTTCAGAGGCAGTTATATGATTATACAGGAGAAGATTGCCCATCCTCCTCCTGCAGAGCAGCTGGTGGCCTTGAACCGCGTGCCTTTGGAATTGCGGCACAGCTTCTTGACATTAGGCCACCAGAGCTCCCCTAGGTAGAGGGTTGGGGGGAAAAAAAAGATGATGCTCAATTTGATGGATTGGCAGAAGGGCTGCAAAATGGGCTTATACACAGCAGAGACTCGGAGGAGGGTGCAAGGGGGTCACGGGTTTGTTCTATTGTCACAGTGCATCTGGGTTGACTCGATGGTGCCTAAAATACCAACATGTGATCTCAGCAGCTGCCTCGAAAAGGGGGGAGAGGGCTGGTGGCTCCAAACCCCCCTCTACTTCCTAAACAACATGCCTCCAGAAACCCTATGAACTTTGATAAATGTCGATAGTTGTAAAGGGGCTTCAGGCCTTTCGTTGTAGGGTCGCTAAGAGTCGTGCTTGACTCAAAGGCAATCAACAACAACAACAACTGTATCTGTATCTCTATATATTTACATATATGTATATAATGCACTGTTGTCTTTGTCATTTTTCTTCTGTATGAAATCCATTTTAGGGGAATAAACCAAGTTGTGTATTAACTTAGTGCACATGTGCACAGGCTGTAAAATGATCAAAAAATACAAATTGCTTTAATTTGCCTTCCTAACAGGTGACTCTAATCAATTTTATTGCCCCATATTTTGCGGCTCGCTGAGCGTGGCCAGAACTTCTGCAAGCTTCTGCGCTGATGTCTGGAAAAGGAGGGCTCGCTCCCATTAGCTACCAGCAGACCGCGTTGGGGTTGCAGCTCACCAAAGTGGGCTGGGCGGCAATTAGGAGCCCTGCACCTCCACGACAAAAGAAAAAGGGGGCTGAGAGGCACAAGGCTGTTCCATGCTCCCGGCTCACAAGGAATCCTTGCTTTCCAAATGTCAGCAAGCAAAACATAAATGTGAACATCTATAAAGTGTCTGCTGTTGTCAAGTTGACTTTCACAGGTGAAAGAAAGCCCATCTTTTTCCAACAGAGTAGCTGGTAGACTTGAGCCCGTGACCTTTTGGTTAGCAGTGCACCATGTATCACACAGCACACCACCAGAGCTATTATATATGTATATAAAAGAAAGGCTAAGTGGGCCTTTTGAGCTGCCTCTCCCCTAAATAAAACAAAAATGTGGACATCAGAGACACAAGCTCCCAAGGTCTGAAGTATTTATCTTGTTGTTATTGTTGTCATCAAGGCTTCTGACGTGACACTGAAGGTAAGCGTCTGCAATGACGTACTGCTAG